CCCCCAATTATACTAATTTACAGGACCTTCTTTTCCACAGCACATAAAACGGAGGAAAGGGTCCTGAAAGATATTGTTAGTAGAAACGTTATACCTACAGACAAAAATCAGAAGATACAACTGACAATTTACTATAAAACCAAAAAAACGGCCAGCCTACTCATGAGAAACTCTGCAGACACAAAGCAGAACGCTTTAAAAGAGACCAACGTCGTCTATGCCTTCAAATGCCCTCTTGGGGACTGTAAGCCTCAAAAAACTCAGTATATAGGCAAGACAACAACATCTCATTCCAGGCGTTTAACGATGCATAAGCAACAGGGCTCCATGAAGGAACATATAGTCTCTTCCCACAACCAAACCATCACCAGAGAAATCTTAGCAAACAACACAGAAATCATCGATAGATACAGCGATAGCAGGCGGCTTGACATCTGCGAGGCACTACACATCAAGAAGTCAACACCAGCAATCAACAGCCAATTAATGCACAACTATATTCTACCCACTTCAAGACTCTGCTCTAATATTGAAGCATCAAGAAATATGGGCCAATAAAAAAAGGCCTTCTGCAGTTACCTACCTTTAAAACCCATTGTTTCGTGTCCTGTCTTGTGTTAAAAGTTTATTTTCACCTCATCCAAAACTATTGTAACATGTCACCTCACCCAAATGTAGGTATAAAATCTCGAAGATGTTTAAGCTCTATTCAGTTAAAGTTGTGTGTGTGTGTGTAAACTAAAGTCTTTGAAAATGTAATAAGTTTTACGAAACGCGCTAAAGTGTCGCGTCAGACTAGAAATATAAATGAATTTTGGAGAATATATATATATATATATATATATATATATATATATATATATATATATATATATATATATATATATATATATATATATATATATATATATATATATATATATATATATATATATATATATATATGTATATATATATATATATATATATATATATATATATATATATATATATATATATATATATATATATATATATTATATATATATATATATATATATATATATATATATATATATATATATATATATATATATATATATATATATATATATATATATATATATATATATATATATATATATATATACTACACAGACGTGAAAATGTGACGACATTTCGAAAATTAATGTTTATTAACCTTCATCGACAATTCTTCATGCGTGAAATTAATTTAGATTTTCTGTATAAATGTGTCGGAATATTTCATTGTTATTGTCCCATTCCTAAAATAATATCTGAGCTGATAAGGTTAACGTTAAAACCAGTTTTTCCAATTTTAACATTGACAGCAGTCAAAGCGAGAAGTTTGATGAATGATAATATATGACCGTTTATGATTCATCATACTGACCAAATGTTCTATGATGTTTCAGAGATGATTAGTAAAATGTTCACACTAAGTGGAATGAACAGTAAGAGTGATATGAAGAGTTTGTTTTGTTGAGATCATATTAATTACTACTATGAAGCCTGGAGATGTCTCTTAGGTAAGTTTGAAGCAGTCAGCTGTCTCTTAGTTAAGTGTGAAGCAGTCAGCTGTCTCATAGTTAATTGTGAAGCAGTCAGCTGTCTCATAGTTAAGTATAAAGCAGTCAGCTGTCTTTTAGTTAAGTATAAAGCAGTCAGCTGTCTTTTAGGTAAGTATGAAGCAGTCAGCTGTCTCTTAGGTAAGTATGAACCAGTCAGCTGTCTCTTAGTTAAGTATAAAGCAGACAGCTGTCTCTTAGGTAAGTATGAAGCAGACATCTGTCTCTTAATTAAGTATGAAGCAGACAGCTGTCTCTTAGTTAAGTGTGACGCAGTCAGCTGTCTCTTAATTAAGTATGAAGCAGACAGCTGTCTCTTTGTCCATCGTGAAGCAGACAGCTGTCCCTTTGTTGAAATTGATGCTGACATCTGTCATTCTGCTCATCATAAAACAGACAATTGTCTTTTTATTTATAATGAAGCATGCAGACGTTTCTTTGTTCAGCATTCAGAAAGACACAGCTGTTGTCTTTAGCTACTGGATCGTTGATGGACTGCTCCCCTATAATCACTGTTAAGGTCTCTCGCTTCTGCCGAGGAAAATCCCTCTTGCAAAGATGCACCCATTTCTAGTCGGCAGAGGGAGGGACGAGTAGTTACCTGGAGCTCTCTATATCCTTAGAACTCTAAGTCACTCTTTCTTCTCAAAGTTTGAACCTAAAAAATTCTTCACGGGGCCATTTTGTCCTTTCTTAAATAAATTATTTTGGGAAACTATTTATTTTTGTATTTTCGTTGTGTAAAATATTGTTTGAAATATATGAATACAGAACTGAACTCTAAAAAAATGGATGTAATTTGGATGAGTTTAGATTCACGTTTGTCTTATTAAAATACTCGCTAGGAAATCAGGTGGAAAATGGGACAAATTAATGCGTAATGATATAGACGTAGGATAGCAGGATTTACCCGCGCTTGGGTGAATTTCTTCACTTTGACACTCAGAACACTGGGCATAAATTGCGTTACAGTTCCAAGCGAAGGTGAGACATGTATATATGAATAGCTCGGAACTGCCTCGTGTCGACCAATACCCCTTCTGCACTTTCTTTAAGTCCCATGTTCTTCATCATTCCTCTTTCTATACTCAAATTGATGAATCATTCCTTGCATTTGCATATTAGTGAGGCGAATTTTTCATATTAAGGATACAATACTAGTTTTGTTTTATATTGAACCAAATGACTCTAGCCGAACTACAGAAGCACAAATTTTCGGGATATTAATTAAATACGATCATATTTAAAATTAACATTTAGCCTTAACGTGACACATTATATATTTATTTTAAACACATTTACGTCTACGATCTGGCTTCAGCTCTTAACTCCTGCGTGATTCCAAAATTTCTTCTTTAATATTTAATGCATCGTCGGTAATTCACGATACATCAAAGACAATAACTCACATAAATTAACTTTGTCCACGTCGCTAGCACAAAAATACCTTCATCAAAACCTGATCTCACGATGCGTTATGTTACCATCACGTATATGTGACCATCACTCATCAGAGGGACGCAGGGAGGCAGTGAAGAAACAGTAATATATGGTTCACAGTACATGTAGTAATTTCATTTACCTGGTCAGTATGGGTCTCGAACCATGGACCCGACGCGTGTGAAGCCGACGCCCTATCGACTGAGCTATGAGCAGTCTTAAAGCATCGATAGAGCGTATAGAGCATCGGCCTCTCAAAGGTGGGGTCCAGGGTTCGAGACCCATACAGCCCAGATGGACGGAAAGTTTATATCCACGCAAGTATGGATAACAATTTACACAGTAATATTATACAGAGTGTAGCGGGCATTTGATATCCAAATTTATTCATGACAAATATTTAATTTGCTCGAGAGAACTGTGTCTTAAAAACAAGAAGATTCGCAAAGGACTTTTAAGAAGCAGCCAAGAGAAAGGCATCAACAGATGGATTACCCGAGAGAGGAGAAGTGAGAGTCATCATCCACAAGATTCACGGAACAGGGAAGAAACAGTCATACCGAAGGATTTCAAAGAAACTTGTAAGTTGAAAAAAATCAACTTAAGAAGAGTTCGTTGACAACAAGGTCCTAAGAGATAAACAAAATATATCTGCTAATTACATATCTGATAAATACCCGGAATTTGTGCTCTTTTCAAAATATATTATATTTTATTAACCGGAATTATAATGACTGTATTACGATCTTTAAAAAATAAACTTTATTATTATTATTGACAGAAACGTGGCCGTCATTGACACCAAGACCATGATACAGATGACATTCAAGAACACAAGAACACGAGAACCAGAACACCGCCAACCTTGTTCATGAAGAACTCTGCAAACACCAAAAGAAATGCTTATAAAGTGAGGAATTTCGTCTATACCGTATTACCCCCTCTAGGAGACTGCCAGCTCACCACCATCTTAATAGAGGGAAGACAACAACAACTCTTGCAAGAACCTGATCATACACACACAACATAGCTCGATCCCAAAAGATATTATTTACAAACACAAACAGCTCACCAAAAGAGATAAACTGATTAACAACAACGAAATAATCGACAGGTTCAACGACAGAAGATGAGCCATCGGAGAAGAATTAAATATCAACCAACCTCAGCCAATTATTACAGCCATCTAGCCCTCCTATACATTCTACCCGCCTCAAGACCCCAGACCCGTGTGTATTGAGCACACACCCACCCAGCCATCACACGGATATACTAAGTAATGAAACTTTTAAAAAGCCCATTTGGCCCATACAACACTATTCTTAACTGCATCCTTCTTATTTATATATTTGATTGCTTAATCTAATTTGTATACGCATCACCTCGGCCTTTGATAATGTTGACAAGTTCAACGAAACGCTTCTCTTAGCGTCAGGCAATATAAAATTGCCAAATGAACGTTAGAGAGGGACTTTTTCAACTTTTGCAATTCTTCAATTAGGAATATTGTGATGATTTGTGCTAGAATCATTGATCTAACTCTACCAGTCATATTCAATACCACCCTCAACATTGTTGGACGAACTCCTAATCCTACCTAGAGGCAAATATTGGATCAACAAGTTAACTATGGAGAGAAGCTTGGATCTCTCTCCTAAGCAAGAAGAATATTATGTTTGCAGAATAGTAACAAAATTAATAATGTCGAAATACCATCCTAGCTCAGGATGGACATGGTCAGGGCATCATCCTGACCAAGGAGAGTCATGGTTGAGATAGCATCCTAGCCAGTGAGGCTAGGATGGAATCAAATGATTGTAACAGCATCTTATAAGGAGAGATATATGGTTAGAATAGCATCCTAAACACGGTGAACCTCAACATCAAAACGCCGAAGACTTGCGGAGGGATCTTCAGCCTTACCAAGCCGAGATACGGCAGGATCTGAAGGAGAAAATAATAACTGTGAGGCCGAACTATGGCGATGCCTACCTAGATGTATAGGACAGAGGGAGTCATGGGTCCGGGGCGGAGAGTGTGGGACGGGCAGCTCTGATAGTTCGCACCCACTTGCTTCCTCACAGGAGACACCAGCTTCCACCCTCCGAGTCATCACTGTATCGGGTAGAAGTTACATGAATTAACATTGTACGAGGACGAGGTTACCTGCGGCAATAATGTACTGGGGGAAGAGGTTACATGTGATCATACTGTACCTGCCAGAGGGTGACTGAGTGCTATTGTACAAGACGATTGGTATAGGTGTTAATTCTGTACTGGAACATAATACATAAGACAATACTGTATCTTAGAGAGGATACAATGTAAGAAAGAAAGGCACACTGAAGAAAAGTAGACATTGTGTCACCAAACGAAAATCATTAATTTTATTTAACGAATTCTTATTCCGCAGTTGTTGATGTAATTCTAACATGATTTATAATACGTGATGAAGCAAGAGTTATGAACAATTTATATAAAAAGTAGAAGTAAACAAGGCATATATATGTATATATATATATATATATATATATATATATATATATATATATATATATATATATATATATATATATATATATATTAGTATATTTTGGTAGCAGTCTTTCCTGTAGACATATATTATTAAATATGACCGAAAAAGTAAGATTAATAATTCTAACACGAATTTTCTCAATCTTTCGTACATTTCGCTTCACTGTTGGAGGTAAATCAAAAATCAATTCTCCAAAATTCATTTTTATTTCTAGTCTGACGCGACACGAGCGCGTTTCGTAAAACTTATTACATTTTCAAAGACTTTAGTTCACAAATACACAACTGAATAGAACTTACGCATCTCCGATTTTATATCTACATTTGAGTGAGGTGGAAGGGGTGATGTGGCATTAACACAAGACAGAACAAAATGTGGTATTAATAGGGTATTAATTTCATCAACACAAGACAGAACAAGAGTATTAATAGGGTATTAATTTCATCAACACAAGACAGAACACGAAACAATGGATATTGAATAGAAGTGTTTGTAGAAAGCCTATTGGTCCATATTTCTTGATGCTTCTATATTGGAGCGGAGTCTTGAGGTGGGTAGAATATAGTTGTGCAATAATTGGCTGTTGATTGCTGGTGTTGACTTCTTGATGTGTAGTGCCTCGCAAACGTCAAGCCGCCTGCTATCGCTGTATCTATCGATGATTTCTGTGTTGTTTACTAGGATTTCTCTGGCGATGGTTTGGTTGTGAGAAGATATTATATGTTCCTTAATGGAGCCCTGTTGCTTATGCATCGTTAAACGCCTAGAAAGAGATGTTGTTGTCTTGCCTATATACTGGGTTTTTTGGAGCTTACAGTCCCCAAAGGGCATTTGAAGGCATAGACGACGTTAGTCTCTTTTAAAGCGTTCTGTTTTGTGTCTGGAGAGTTTCTCATGAGTAGGCTGGCCGTTTTTCTGGTTTTATAGTAAATCGTCAGTTGTATCCTCTGATTTTTGTCTGTAGGGATAACGTTTCTATTAACAATATCTTTCAGGACCCTTTCCTCCGTTTTATGAGCTGTGGAAAAGAAGTTCCTGTAAAATAGTCTAATAGGGGTTATAGGTGTTGTGTTAGTTGTCTCTTCAGAGGTTGCATGGCTTTTCACTTTCCTTCTTATGATGTCTTCGTACAGTTGATTGAATGCTGTTGCTGTAATTGGCTGTTGATTGCTGGTGTTGACTTTTTAATGTGTAGGGCCTCGCAAACGTCAAGCCGTCTGCTATCGCTGTATCTATCGATGATTTCTGTATCAGAAATCATCGACAGATACAGCGATAGCAGACGGCTTGACGTTTGCGAGGCACTACACATTAAAAAGTCAACACCAGCAACCAACAGCCAACTAATGCACAGCTATATTCTACCCACCTCAAGACTCCGCTCCAATATAGAAGCATCAAGAAATATGGACCAATAGGCTTTCTACAATCACTTCCATTGAATACCCATTGTTTCGTGTTCTGTCTTGTGTTGATGAAATTAATACCCTATTAATACCACCTCACCCCATCCACCTCACTCAAATGTAGATATAAACAAATCGGAGATGTGTAAGTTCTATTCAGTTGTGTATGTGTTAACTAAAGTCTTTGAAAATGTAATAAGTTTTATGAAACGCGCTCAAGTGTCGCGTCAGACTATAAATAAAAATGAATTTTGGAGAATTGATTTTTGAATTACCACCAACAGTGAAAAGAAATGTACGAAAGATTGAGAAAATTCGTGTTAGAATTATTAATCTTACTTTTTCGGTCACATTTAATAATATATATATATATATATATATATATATATATATATATATATATATATATATATATATATATATATATATATATATATATTTAATTTTTTTTTTTTTTTTTTTAAAAACCTAGAAGGGGTACCACCTCTGGTGCAAATGTAGGGACCCATAGCCTCGGAGAAGAAAATAAAGAGTACTCAGAGAAGACCTTGTGGATCCTCACTGAACACTTTGATATTTTCTTCTCCTACCACTCCTATTCTTTTGTTAAGTGTGTATATTTATCTAACTTTATTTGAAAATGTCATTACACAAAAAAAGTTACAATATTGATTACATACAGGGTACAAGGCTGCTTGTCACAAGTTGAATAGCTCCTCCAGCTCCTCAGATGGCGGGCAGGAACCATGGATGCAGTGAGCATTTCCTCTCTGGATTGCCACACTAAGGCGCTGAAAAAGAAAACTGGCAGCTCTGGGGTCTCTAGTTGTTTCGATTAGCTTAGACCCCAACTCCTTTAAAAAGCTAGCAGCACTTTTACCCCAGGCACCAAGTGTCTCTGAGGCAATGGGGACAAAATTGTAGTGGTGCTCAAGGTCTCTGTATTTACGTGACTTGGCCGCTTCCCGGTGATTGGCAGCTCCTCCTGCTTGTGTAGCACTGAAGTCAACATAGGTACTGGCCAAAGTTGAAACGCAAGTGTAGTCCCACACCAACTGTCTACCATTCTTCCAGGGGTTCACCGTAATTCCGTCTGGGCGACCGACAGGCTCATCAGAGTTGCGGGACATTAGGTAACGGGGCTCTCTCTCTCTGCTGGACAACCGGCTGTGGTAAGGCTCCTCTTAATAATGTCATTAACCTCGCCGTGTCTTGCATGCCATCCTCCCGTCCTTTGGCAAAGAAGGCCATGCCGTCCGTATTTGTCGGCCTCTGCCTCGCCGCAAATACACCTGTATTTGGTGTGGATTGGGGCAGCTAGGCGGAGAGCCACGGCAATTCGGAGGGCCTGCGGTGTGAGACGGGTGCCGGTTGCTGACATTGGGGTTGCTAATAGGAAATCACCTGCATGGGGAGCTGCTACAGCTCTAAGTCGGGCAGTGTCATGTGGTGTCGTCGCAGCTTCTAGCAAAGTTGCAGCTTCTTGGTCGACAATGGGGCGATCCCAGCTGGATTGCTTATGGGCTTCAGAAGGCGGTGGTTGGGGTGCTGGTCCTGCGAGAGAGACCCATTTGGTTGTGCAGTCTGTGAAGCTGGGATCATGTACCCCAGCCTGTTGAACTAGGTGCTCAGGTAGGATTTCCTTCACCAGGTTGTCAGACCCCACTGAAGAGGACAGGAATGCTGGTACAGCAATTTGTGTTGCTGTGCGCACGCCAAGGGCCCCGAGTCTGACTGGAAGGGAGGCCTTCCTCCCTTATATATATATATATATATATATATATATATATATATATATATATATATATATATATATATATATATATATATATATATATATATATATATATATGTCGTACCTAGTAGCCAGAACTCACTTCTCAGCCTACTATTCAAGGCCCGATTTGCCTAATAAGCCAAGTTTTCCTGAATTAATATATTTACTATAATTTTTTTCTTATGAAATGATAAAGCAACCCTTTTCTCTATGTATGAGGTCAATTTTTTTTTATTGGAGTTAAAATTAACGTAGATATATGACCGAACCTAACCAACCCTACCTAACCTATATTTATAGGTAAGGTTAGGTTAGGTAGCCAAAAAAAGCTAGGTTAGGTTAGGTTAGGTAGGTTAGGTAGACGAAAAAACATTAATTCATGAAAACTTGGCTTATTAGGCAAATCGGGCCTTGAATAGTAGGCTGAGAAGTGCGTTCTGGCTACTAGGTACGACATATATATAATATATATATATATTTATATATATATATATATATGAAGTGTATATATATATATATATATATATATATATATATATATATATATATATATATATATATATATATATATATATATATATATATATATATATATATATATATATATGAGAACTCTTTGACCCGGCCAGGATTCGAACCTATGCCGTCCAGGATCACCCCTAAACGTACACAGTACCGTGACCACCGCACCAATGATCGTCTTATTGGTGCGGTGTTCACGGTACTGTGTACGTTTAGGGGTGATCCTGGACGGCATAGGTTCGAATCCTGGCCGGGTCAAAGAGTTCTTATATATATATATATATATATATATATATATATATATATATATATATATATATATATATATATATATATATATATATATACCCACATTTATATTTGCTTTTTTGATGGGTAGTGATGGATGCGACTATACCTAAGCCAATTGACACAGATGAAAAATAAGTGATATTCTGAACGTTCCTTTGTTCTCGTATTTGCTAACGTTTGTGCTTGTCAGATACTCACAAAGCAGTGCGGAATTATTCTGGCCATTTGTTTGCTTTTCATCAAATTGTTGTGACAGTAAATGGCTGCGAGCGAAGCTGTGTGATGACAGTCATTTCTTTCTTGACATTTTTTTTGAAGGGCAATAGTGCGGACGGGTTGTGGAGGGTTGGAGAGGGATGAGGTTTGGGAGGGAAGTGGGTGGGAGGGAAGGGAGTATGTACACAAACTGATACATGTATCCACTTATGTACCTGTATGTAACTCCAGAATATACCACATATGTATCAAATTATTGAAATAAAAACACACACACACAAGAAACAAATAATTTCCCTTGGCTAAACACTGAGATATTTCTTTCCTTCAACATAAACGTAAAAACTTTAAGTTTTAACGTAAAACG